TTAAATATATTTTAAAATGTCATTTATTCCTGTGATGGCAAAGCCGAATTTTCAGCATCATTACTCCAGTCTTCAGTGTCACATGATCCTTCAGAAATCATTCTAATATGCTGATTTGGTGCACAAGAAACATTTCTCATTATTATCAAAGTTAAAAACAGTTGTGCTGCTTACAATTTTGGTGAAAACCGTGATGCTTGTTTTCAGGATTCAGCATTTATTTGAAATATTTAACTTTGTAAATGTCTTTACTGTCAATTACTGTGTAATTTAATGCATCTTTTCTGAACAAAAGTATCAAAATCTTACTGAGCCCAAACTTTGGAAAGTTAGTGTATGTTGAGAACACACAGCAGTTTTTAAATGTGTGTGGCTCGTGTTGGCAGGTGACATGAAGAGCTTGAGCTGTGACACGAAGCAGGATCTGTGCCAGGCACTGGAGGGGCAGACGGGAGGCTGGGAGAGTCTGGCTCATGCTCTGGGGCTTGGGATCCTGACCAGCGCCTTCAGGCTCAGCTCCTGTCCTGCTGGAAAGCTGCTGGACAGCTACGAGGTAAACAAATTCCCTTCCTTTTTCAATCTTACAGAAACACTGGACAGTGGTAAGAAAAAGTAGTTGTCTTTTAATCTGATCTTAACTGACTGCCATCCTTCAGAAGCAACAGTTCTCAGCTGTTATGAACGAATTTGCATAAGTTTTTAAAGTGGGGCAGTAAACGGATTTGATATGTGTGTCTAAGAGAATTGATTTTCCCAAACAGATTAGATATAAGTGTATTCAATACTTTGTTGCACTTTAGGAAATTTCTTTTGTATTTTAAATGTATTTAATCTCAAAACTTTGAATGTTTAGAACTGAAAAAGTTCTGTATTAATTATGCTTAGGACTAAACCTGTCGACTATTATATTATATTATATTATATTATATTATATTATATTATATTATATTATATTATATTATATTATATTATATTATATTTAGGCCTATCACAATGATTAATTGTATAATCATGGTTATTCTATAAAAGCCAGGGAGTCAAGAATAAAGAATATAAAAGAACACAAAGATAGTCAAAGGTCTTCCTTCATACAAAATGAAGGCTTGTGTGTTTATATTATATAATATTACATTACATTATATTATGTTATATTATATTAATAATATGTAAAAAAAACAAACATAGTAGGCTTACATTGTAAGTTACATGAACCAAACAGAATTAAATTGTTAATTGTGATTATTTGAATGATTAATTCGTTGTCAGCACGTCGTCATGATTGTGACAGGCCATATCATATATCATATCTATATAATCAATCACAAGATGCAACAAAACTGAGTGAACTGTTTTTTATATATATATATATATCCTGAAATACTGGATTGAAATATGGCATTTTATGCTTAAGGCTAAACCTATCAATCCATATTTCTGAGAATGACATTAAAGATATGAATTCCTCTAACACTAACTTTATCAGTAGGCTGAACTGTTATTTTTGTGCTTCCTGTAGTTGCTCTGGTTCAGCTGCTAATCATCTGTCTCCTTCAGGTGTCTGGAGGAACGGTGCATGAGCTGCTGGAGGGACTGAAGCATGTTGGGAACAGCAGTGCTGTCAGTTTACTCCAGGCTGTGTGTAAGGAGCCTGAAGCTGTCCACACCACACCTCAGCTCACAGGTAATATTGTTTGATATGTGTGGCCTAAGTAGTTGAACATCTGGGCTGGGAAGCCAAACGTTGTTGGTTTTAGCCAACAAGGGGTGATCCATGAACCGCTACCATTGTGTCCTTCAGTATGCATAACCATGGGTTGGTCGCAGCAACTTTTCCACTGTAAGTCCCTTTGGATATGTTAGTAAATGAGTAATTCGTCAAATAATATTAAAAAGAAAATCTGATCAGATACACTTCGTTTAAAGAAAAAGAAAAAAACTGTGACAACACACTGACATTCAAATGTTTGGGGTCTAGATTTTTTTTTTGAAAGACATATTTTATGCTCACCAAGGCTGAATTTTATTTATTAAAAAATTCAAAACAGTAATATTGTGAAATTGTGTAATTTATTCCTGTGATGGTAAAGCTACATTTTCAGCATCATTATTTCTTTGTCAAATGATCCTTCAGAAATCATTCTAATATGCTGGTTTGCTGCTCAAGAAACATTTCTTATTATTATCAATGTTGAAAACAGTTGTGCTGCTTAATAATTTTGTGGAAACTGGTATGTTTTTTTCAGGATTCTTTAATGAATAGAAATTTCAAAGGAACAGCATTTATTCGACATAGAAATCTTATCCAACATTATATAAATGTCACTTTTGATCAATTTATTGCATCCTTGCTAAATAAAAGTATTAATTTCCTTCCTAAAACAAAACAAAAAAACAGACTACAAACTTTTGAAAGGCAGTGGAATGCAAATTGCTAAATTGCGTAAACGGCGCACAGTTAGGCTAATAAATTATCTGGCAGAAGAGTGGTTTATTATGATTATTAATACATTGACTACATTTAATTTTGATAATATTTTAATCACATTTCGGTTGTAATCATTTTACAAAACCAGTAAGCCACTCAAGGCCACTGTGTCAAAGATTGTAAAATCACAGTAACACAAGGCCTTGACTGCTTTATTTATTGCTTTAATGTTTTGTTTTGTGTACCAGAACATAAACCTCAAAGATTCATGTTCTCGAAAGGTATTTTTTTTTGCTCATTGGTGAGGCATTTTGGATATTTTCCCAAGAGCACGTCGTCATTGTGACATTTCATAGTATGAGTGAGATTTTGTACTACACACCTCTGTTGTGGAGGTTTTTTTTGTCCCACAATATGGTTTGTAAAAACCCCCAGGACTAAATCACTGTCAGTCTCGGTCCCCTCTCTCGTTAACAATAATATCACGTTGTGGTCCTGACATCACCTCATGTGCACTCGAGCATGATGTCAACAAAACAGCACTGCCACTGCATTCTAAAGGAGTTCCCCTCGGTCTCAGGGTGACCCGACACATTGCTGTAATGTTCACATATAGTTTCTGCAGTGCTGCCGATGTTTCGGGGGGGAAGTGGATACTTGAGAGGGGGATTCCCAGGAACAGAAGTGAAAGCCAGATATGGCACTTCTGTTTTTTGTCTCTAGCGCAGTTTCTTTGAAACAAGTCTTTTCACCTTGCTGTCTGATTTGAAGGGTTCAACGTCAGGCTTCAGTGAGCGTGTGTAAGCCAGTAGGGGAAAGTTTTTTTTTTGTTGTTTTTTTGTCTCTGTTTCCTTCTCGTGGTTGTCCATATTGTTGTGCCACGTTGTTTGTTAAAAATCACCAATGTTCAATAAATATAGTGGGGTCCACATGAAATTTGGGATTCTAAATCTGGAAACAAAGGTTTTAGGAAACATTATGATGTAAAATTATGTAAAATATTCCATATTCTGAGTATTATTGTTATTAATGCAAAATAGGGACAAACCAAATATTATGACTTATTTTATTTTTAAATTACTCTTTTATTTTTATTCAACTTGTCACTCAAGTGGTTAACCTGGTGATATTAGTTTTTGTTTAATGTATTTATTTTTGCAAACTTTTAGAACCATCTGTAAATAAATTTAATAATAATCAAATAAAAAATATTACGATTGCTTGTGACTCTGTGGTTTACGATTGCCAAGCAAACACAATGATCAAAAAGAGATAGTTTCGGCGTAGGATTATAGAATTCATTTTATAATAGTATATAGTTTTCTTTTTATAAAGCAACTTTTATGACATTTTTATTCTATATAAATAAAACGTGTTATATATATATATATATATATATTTGGATTTCTTTTTTTCATAATTTTAGGATACAAATTTTTTTTTCATTGTCTTTAATTAGGGAAAATATTTGAAATGCTTCTATGGTCATATTAATATATATATATATTTTTTTCTCAGGGCTCTGTAAGTCCATTCAGGCTTTGACACTGGGCCCCCAACAGGAGGAGAGTGGGATATGTGACAGCGGGGTGGAGACCTCTTTCTAGAGCCCCAGCTTTGGTCTCACTCACTCCAAACACAATCGCACAAACTGAGGCCTGACCCTAAAGACCAGCTTCTCCCTCCTCACTACAGCAGCAGTGCCACTCAACCTCAGGACACGCCTCCAAAACCTTTGATTGGCCACCGCCCTCTGTGGATGCTGCTCAGCCACGCCCAAAATGCAAATGAGCTCTGAACTCTGAGGAGTCCTTAAGCTGGGGAGTCCTCTGGCCATGGGGATTTTATTATCTTTTTTTAGCTTTTTAATATGAATAATACCAAAAAGCACTTATTTGAATTTTTTATTTTTTTCCTTTTATGAGAGCTATATTATGTTTAAATAGCTATAATATAGCTTTAAAAGGGTATATTAAAGTGGCTGTTTTCATTTGTGCTTAAGCTGAACAATGACGTCCACAACTAAATATTTAGTCGGTTATGATGTCTTGGACATTATTAGATTCTCAGGCCTGATTTGCAAAAAAAAAAAAACAACAACAAAAAAAAACATTTCTTGCTTGAATTGTTTATTAATAAAAAAAAAAAAAACGTCTGGTTTGATAAGTCTGGCCTCAACTATTTCCTTTGTTAATAGACTTTAACAAACAATCCAATTTAAGAACAGCACCTTCAGTTTAGATAACCTATTATGCAGACTTCCTCATAGTCATTTGCTTGCAAAGGGTTTTCTTTTGGAACTGCAATGCAATGACATACAGGAAGAGGAAGAGAGGAAAAGGAGGTCTACTGGATTATTACGACCCTCTGGACCAATCGAATCTGTTGGATGATGGAAAAAGTTCTTCCCTTCATACTCAACCTTTCAGCTGTTATTTGGGTTGGCGATGGAATTTATTTTGCATTTAGTGGTGCTATACCTGTAATTCCTAATGTTTGCTCACGGGTTCTGATAAAATAAAAAAAATCATAAGCTTTGAGAGATTATTCTCCCTTCCACTTGTTTGATTGATCAAAGAGTCAGTCCTTAGCAGTGATTGGAGTGTGTGCGTGCGTGCGTGTGTGTGTGTGTGTGTGTGTGTGTGTGTGTGTGTGTGTGTGTGTGGATAGCTTCAACCAGATGCCTCAAGTGCCCTTAAAGAAATATCTTTGTAGTTACATTTTTATCATTCTGTTAAAAAAAAGTGAAATCTCATTCCCTTCTGTTGTGTGTGAACTATACAAAACATCACTCCGATATCATGCTAATGTAGAATCAGTTCTATTCATGCATCACAGAATATTTGTGTCCCAGATCAGCTGTCTTTCTTTTTGCTTTATGAAATGTTCTAAACATGGCCTCTGACCTTTGAACTGACTTGGGGACTCACGTCACCAAAATGCTTTTAGCTGCCGTAATATTATTCATACTATAGTAAATAATGTTTTTTTTTAAAAGCAACAAAACCATCCAAAACCCCAGACTAAAAGTTTGACAGGCACTGTAATGTATTTTTGGCTGTAAATTGGTATTTATGTCTGTACCCTGTGAAGCAGTGTTGTACAGAGGGAAAATTGTTTGTGCTTTGTAACTGGTTTTATTGTGATACTTTTTTATAATAAAACGATTCATTGTGTACTACTGTTTCGAAATTTTATTTTACATCTCCTGTACATATTGACTATCCATATTGCACACAAATTTGTATCTGCTCCATAATTGATACAGCCATTTTCATTTTGCCGCTTGTTGTGATGTGTTGTGTAAAATCACCAGCAGATGGAGTCCTGTCTTACTTTTTAAAACATCCAATTATTTATCTGAATTCTCATAATACCTCATGTATTTTCACTTTTATATTATAGTCTTTAGCTAATTAAAGTTGCAATAAGATAACTGTAAGCCTAACAATAAAGTATAACTTATAATTTAATAGACAATATCATTAACTATCATTTTTCAACCCAGTTTTCCTTTCTTTCTTTTAGCAATTTAGTTGCCATAAGAATAGCTACACATAATGTTAAATGTGTATGCAGTATGTTTTCGTCCTAATGTGTTAGCATCTGATACTGAGTGAAAAAACCTACTCACGAATTAACATAATAGCTATTCTACTATGAGTGCCATCCACATACATTTATAAAACATGCTCATTTTAAACATTATTCTATAAAAAGGAACTGAAGAAAAATCGTGATTATTCAATGTAATTTTAAATTTGTATTATTTGTTTACAGTTTACAAAGCCAAACCTGTATCCTTCGTTGACAAATGACAATCACTGCACTACAGCATTCCTCATTGTGCTCAGAACAACCATTGAAATTGTGAATTTTAGCAACATTTGGCTTGTACACTATTACGTATTATTTCAGGTAGCCTATGTTAAAGGCGTGTCATCAATGTGTTTAGCAATCTGTGAGACACGTAAAAGAAATGTGTATGATAACAGGAAGCATACAAATAGCTGTGACCACCCAATCTGTAGTTGATTGTATCTGTCTGAAGGTGTTTTTAGCTACACTTCGGGGACCAAATTGGCTACAGAAATTAGCTAAATCTGACAAAGCCTCCTTTTGGAGATGTCCTCACACAAGTAAAAAAAAAAAAAAAACTTTTTTATTATACTACTCTATGACATAAAACACTTATTATGACTGTTAGTAAGCAGCCAGGAGGGCGTGGAACTCTCGCATCTGCAGAACATCATGATGTTGCGAGCGTCGACGTCACAACGGAATTCCGCATTCTAAAAACAGCCTGTGGATCCTGCTTGGAGCTCTAGTGTGTGTGGCAAGCTGTTTGAACATTTCGCCTGATAACTAGCCAGTATAATATTATTATATACTACGTCTTTCTTTTCTTTTTTTTATTAATCTATGGAAGCTTGTTTCCGCCAATGAATAAAAAAATGTAAAAAAAACGTAATTGCGACTTTTTTCTTAGAATTGAGTGATATAAACTACCAATTGCGAGTTATAAAATCAGAATTGTGTGATTTAAACTTGCAATTGTGAGTTTTAAAGTCGGAACTGCATGATATAAACTAGCAATTGTAAGTTATAAGTCAGAATTGCGTGATATAAACTTGCAATTGCGAATTATTAAGTCAGAATTGTGAGTTATAAACTCACAATTGTAATAAAATGTCAAGTTGTGAACTGACTTTTTCCTCAGAATTAGACTTTGTAACTTGTAATTGTGAGTTTATATTTCAGAATTCTGAGAAAGTAGGCAATTGTGGGATATAAACAATTGCGAGAAAAAAAAGTTAGAATTGCAAGACGAAATCTCTTAATTGAAATCTCTTAAAAAAAAGTTGATATCTCTCACAATTCTAACTTTATGTCTTGTAATTGCGAGTTTATATCTCGCAATTCTGACATTGTAAACTACAGAGCCTTTAAAGGGACATGGTGAAGGAAAAAAAATATGAGATGGAGGAAAAAATATTTGTCAATGCTTTTGCATTGTCTCGCAAATGTTTTGCATTCCCCCAATAAACTTTTGTTCCCTCGCAAAAACTTTTGTGTTACACCGAGAAAAGCTCAAAAGGATTTGCAAGCAAACTTAAAGTTTCTCAGGGGAACGCAAAACATTTGCGAGAGAGCGCAAAAGCATTGTATTATTATTATTTTCCACCACCATGCATGTCCCTTTAGTGGCTCCGTAGTAAACTCCAAGGGGGTAATCCATCAGCCGGAAACTGAAGTCTCCCCGGGGGCCGCCATTGGCTAACAGGCCTTCACCTGCTGTTAGCATTCCATTGACTCCCATTCATTTTGGCGTCACTTTGACAGCGAATAACTTTACATCTGAGGCGTTTAAAGACTCAATTAGTCCATTGTTTATTTCTAAAGAAACACGACAATGTATAAAATGCTCCATTACCTTGTATCTTACATTATGGCCGTCGATAACGATTGCGTAATAACAAGCGACTCTCTGTCGCGCAGTAGAGAAATTACCGTATAGACAGAAGTAGAAGCTCACGTGCAATCGGGGGGACGTGGAGATAAAGTCCCATAAAGTCAAGGGAGAAGCCCATAGAGAGTCATAAAGTTGATCCTGCTGGTAGCTCATGGACAGCTAATACTCACCATCTCCAGCTCTGCCAGATTTGAGCCTGCCAAAACCACCAGTAAGCTGGTGTGTGGTGGGCGTTCTGGCGCAATATGGCTGCCGTCGCATCATCCAGGTGGAGCTGCACATTGGTGGTGGTTGAGGAGGTTCCCCCCTTCCATATGTGAAGCGCTTAGAGGTCCCAGAAAAAGCGCTATATAAATGTAACGAATTATTATACTTATTATTATTAATTATCCCTTTGCTATTAGTTGCTATCCAGTTTTCACTGAAACAAATTGTGATAGTCCTGTCAATTGAATTCTATAGAGATTTCCAGTGCAGATAATAGATATATACTATATGTATTCCACAAGACCAGAATACATACCAGGGTGAAGTGAATCGCTGATAATATTAATATATTATATTTAGAATTCAATGGCAACCATTTGTGATTTGTTACCAATAAGAATGCAGTTATCCAACCAGATCTCATGAGAAAATATAAGTATTAGTAGGTGGTGATTCATATGATGTAATTCGTCTGGAAATGTGACTTTTAGAAGAAAGAATGTGCTTGAAGGTCAATCTCTAAATCTTTATCTTTATCTTTGGAGCTAAAATGTCTCCTTGTTATTGTTTCCGACACATTATTATTAAATTTGCCGGTGCTTAGCGACAAGCTTTCTGCATCTTAAATGGTTACTAGAACTAACCCTTTAATTGCATGATTTCTAAAACACCCATCAGTTAGAAAACCCCAACAAATTTAGAAACGCCCACTTTTGTTCTGCAGAGACCCCATACTCTCCAAACCACGCCTCCTCCAAAACACATGAAAGCACAGACCAGAAGCAAGATGACCAGAGATGATGTTATTGGATTACATCATGTGTCATTCACTGGTGAGACAACTTTACAGTATACAGTGAGTAACCGTACTACAATAACAAACGTAAACAACTGTTTGCCTGCCATTCTTGGGCCCTGTCCCAAATGGCACACTCCGGACTTGTGGACTTCCTCAGAGTCCACACTTCGGTGACGTCATGTAGTGCAGACCTATAGGGCCCTTAGCGCGAGTCCGCGAGGGCGCATTGAGAGGTATTTTTGGGACAGACTCGATCGTCACGCCGGAAACAGGAAGACGGTCTGATTGTTGTTATGGACAGGAGCTACAGGTTCGGGGAAATATGCTGCCTATTGTTGTTGTGTTTACATATGACTCAGTAAAGCCCTGACATTCTGTTCTATTTATTTAATGAATCATAATGCGATCGTATTATTCAGCTCGCTATTATTAGCCTATGTTTGAGACATCAACCACTGGCCGATGATCATAATGTTTGTATAAACTTGTCATAAAAACCATAATGATAATTACACTTAAATATTTTCTTCTCAGCCATGTTAACAATTGTCTGTGAGCAAAATCTCCTCCCATCCATTGTCTAATTGGCCTTTCGCAAGGATTCCTGGGTAGTTAAAGTGCGTGGAGCCTGCATCTATGCGGGCTTCGCGGAAGACCGCTTCAAGGGTACAAAGGGGGCGCTGCTGAGCACACTTCAGAGCGTTAAAATGCTAAATGGGACGGCCTACGGACTCGTAGACTCGGCGAGCACGCGCAATTTAAGTCCACGGGACCGAAAGTCCGCATGAAGTGCGCCATTTGGGACAGGGCCTTGCTCTGTCTGCACAGCGTAGTAGGACACGTGAACGCGCTGATGAACGCTCACATGTGGAGTGATATGCAAACACACATTGACTGACAGGGAAATCTTGCTTTCATTTCATTTTGACCTTATTCAATGATTGAACGAACATTTAATGGTCCTAAGCCTTCCACAGTCGATTTATATAAGACCGCTTAACATATTGCTATCAGGATATGAGGAGACTTTCAACCAGCATAACAAAAATGTTTCTGCAGTGAATCACCTGCATGTAGGTTCGCCTCAGGATACTAGTAATTTTAAAGGAATACTAAAACGGCTTGCCATAGCTGAGGCTGTTGGTGTGAAGCTCGTATGAATGTGTGTTTCTCTCTCTGGCCGGAGCTCTACTACAGGCGGAAGTTACAGACGTTTGTGTTGGTGAAAATCTCTTCTGCTGAGAAAGTGAAAATCATCGTAAATGATAAGCAGCAGGCGTTTTATAACGATTAAACCCTCAGCGCATCATATATGTGGACGCGGTGGCTTTATTTTCCCTCATGCATTTGCAGACTGCTGGTTGTCGTCGGTAAAGGCAGACTGGCATATTTATTGAGTCTGATGTCTGGTTAGATGGTCAGATAGTGAAGCTCTTACAGTAACTAACTCGCGTTTTGATTGGAACGTTTAGACATTCTGTTACATTGATTCATTGTAGCGCGTTTCCGACTCTGATACACTGTAGCGGGAGAGAAGAAACATTTACTTTATTCAGTGATGACTCGATTGGGTTTAACATAACTGCCAAATCACATATGTGACTTTCACAACAACCAATCTCGTGGAGCATTTTCTCTTAGCGTTTTGCGCTGGATTTTCCATTGGAACCGACAGAGATGGCAGACAGCGGTCGGGTGAAGATCGACAGCCCGAGCTCGAGCCCCGGACCCGGGAGGAAAAAGGCGCAGCAGTCGCCCGGTTCAAAGGCGCGGTACTCTGTCAACGCTCCCGGACACTGCTTTCGGAAAGTGACCCTGACCAAACCGACCTTCTGCCATCACTGCAGCGACTTCATATGGGGGATTGTTGGGTTTGTTTGTGAAGGTAAGAAGCTTTATGGATTCACTTGGTCGGCATGTTTCATTCAGCAAAGAAATGTCAACAAAGTGTCTCTTACTAAAAACAACAAAACTGCTGTGGTAGTATTATGGCACAGTGATGGTATTAATTAGACGACAATACTATGGTAATTTGTTGTAACAAATTACCATAGTATTGGATGAATACTCTCATAAACATCCTAAACACAATATTTGTGAGTTGGTCTTTTTAATATATTTGGGGTCATTTAACTATTTCGTTTAAAATGCAAGTGCTTTTGTTCCAAATTGAATTTTCCCATACCACTTTGATTGACAATTTTGATTGGCAGATTATTATCTGTGCATGTGCCATCCGGGAAAGGGAAGGGATGAAGAAGGTATGTTAGAAAATAGATGGAGGATGTCAAGCAAATCAGTCTCTCCCCTCTACACCTCCTTCTCGACAGAATCGAATCGCTTGTCTACTTACATGGGGAAGACAGATTGATGCAGATCGATCCAGCACACTCCTCCTGTTGGACAGGAATCTGTGCAGGAGGACACTTTGATGAGATCTATCTAATTGATGGAGGCTGGTGAGAGTGAGAGAAGATCTGTACCATTCTCACTTCTGTTAGTTAGATGTCAGTTTGTTTCTTTACAGAGCTGCTCAGTTGGGTAAACAATAAGCAAGTAGCTCTTGGGCATTTTAGATTAGGCTTTAATTCAAAGCAACCTATGGACAATCCATCTAAAAAAAATCTCTAATGGCTCATTGATCACCTTTTGCAGGATCCAAACCTACAATAGCCTAGATTACAATGAGTTATGAAGGCGTCCATACAACAGTATATTCAAGTTTTCTGAAGTCAAGAGCAGATCAACATGTAATCCCTTATTCACTGATAATCTTCCCATCCAGTCAGTTGTCAATGACTGCAAACAAATAATTGAACAAATGGGAAAGCTTGGTCAGGTCGGTTAGCAAATGAATCATTTGCGTCTTCTTCTCTCATAAGCTCTAATGAATGAAAGTTAGGGTGGATGTCAATATTTTCAATTAATAGTGATTTAAATTTACAACACAAAGTAAGACTTGGAATATAGTGCCATATAGAGTCACACGGACCACTTTTATGATGCTTAGTTTTGGGTCCTTTATGATGCTTGACAGTTTTTATTGTAATCATAGAAGAAAGCAACTGTTTTTTCCCCTTTTGTATTCAGTTCTGGTGTAGTAACCCTTGGCCTTGTAGAACCTGTGATATAATATCTTCTCTAAAGACCAGTCAGAGTGTAATCTACGCCTGAGCTTATTTCTTTTGACTCTTTATGAGGAGTCATCACAAAGCTGCTGATCTGTAGGTTTTAAACTTTTATGGTCTGCAAATGACTTCAAAATGAATCATTGATGGGGCCAAATCCCCTTCCATCTGATTTCTATATGGATAATTTATTTTTTTCATACACATACAGTGAATGTAAACTAGATCAGCCGGTTTTGTCCCTTTAAAGCCTGTTGCTGTTTCCTAGGAAGAGATTAATCCACAATGCTATTCATCAAGGTTTCACCACAATTCCTATGAATGATTATGGCAACAAGCAGAATTACTTTAGAGACAAGTGGACTGGATTTATGTCGCCACATGAGATTGGCATGGCAGGAAAGCAGATGTTGATTGACAATGTGGATGTTACCAGGCAGAGTTAGGCAGAAATGAGACGTTTCTGTTACGTAATGTGCTGCAGTGAAGTCGTGATTGACTCTTCCAGGTTGCCATGGCAACACGTAGTCCAATGGAGCAAAGCGGCAGACTGGATGCTGTAGCTAGACAGAACGAGAGTAGAACATAAACACACATGCATGCTCTATGTTCTAATGCTCAAATGTGTGTTTATTGCACTGGTGAAGAGACTAGTAACGTGCCAGGTTCAGACTAATGATGAATTCATGTCATTATATATTCATTACTGTTGCTATTAATGCAAGACATGACTAGTAGGGGTCGAATTATATAATGCTGATATACTTATATATGATAAATAAGATGTACTTAAAATAGCCAAATTAACATTTATTTTAATTTAAAAAAAATTAAAAAATTCTTCAATATTACCGGAGAAATTCTAACATTAAATTATTTTCCATTTGGAATAATTATTCATTCTATGAATGTTAGAAATATAGTAATTTAGGGTAGATAATGTTTTTCATAAAACTTCACATCCTAGCAATCAATAATAGAAGTATGGTCTAAATATATATATATTTTTTTTTTTACATAAACTCCCGGGTAAAAAAAATGGGCCAACCCCAAAATGGCAAAAAATTTTTTGCTTTTAATCACAAATCACTGGTCAGGAATTTAGCAAGAATTGCACAAATACTGTAGATAAAGTGAAACATGAGCCTGATGGACTTGTTCTCTTGGTTGACTTTGCAGTTTGAGCAGGAGCATTGTCTTTTTGAAAAATAACATCTGATCATTCACTTTAGATAACTTTTCATTTGTGTGAAGCAAGCTATTCTGCAATATTCTCCTGTACACCACAGCATTAAAGGACTTTTCACAGTGAAGTATCTCACCAATACCAGCAGCTAAAAGGCTCCCCACACAATGACACTCTTCCTCCATGCTCCTGTGTGGTAGAGGTGCTTTTATTATTATATTTCTCTCCAGATGTTCAAAGACACCGCTCTGAAGCATCACCATGCATCTCGTGTTTCATTCGATTCATCACTTCACACACAACTTCACGTTAATTCTGTCTTAGATGTTTTTCTGAGACATTAAGGGCTTTTCAAGTAGTGCATTTACTTAAATTCTGCTAATTTCCTGACCAATAATTTGTGGTTAAGACAATTAAAAGCTTAGAGGTTAGCCATTTTGGGCTTGGCCCATTTTTTTGCCCAGCAGTGTATATCGTCTGTGGAAGTCTCAGGACCAAAAAAAACGTTCGTCCAATCATTGCATTCGTTCTGATGCGATGTCCTGTCAACCTGTATTCCCGTACCCCCATGCTCCCACAGACATCACAAGACATCAGCGCAGTAAGGCTACGCAGAGTTGTAGACAGTCACAGAGCGCCACAAATGAACAGCAGCCACCTTTTACATTCCATTCTGAACCAAAACAACGAGTATACGCTGCGTTCACGCCATGTCATAACCGTGAGTACAAGATGGCAACTCGTGACATTGTACTCGGAGCTGTTCACGTTCTCGGACTCGGATTTATGCGTTTCTATGCTACACTATCAACACCAAAATAAATCTGCAGCAGTCAGGTGGTACAAGTCAGAGATCAAAGTTGTTTACTCTCAATAATATTGTAATGTTATGTGGACAATGTTGTAATGTTATGTTTGAGACATGTGGTGATTTAACGTCTGGCTGTGAGTGTTCATGTGTTTTGAAGGAGGCGTGGCTTTGTAGAAGCTCTGAAGGGAGGGTGGGATCTTATGCTTTCAAAACTAGCTTGCTTTAGTAGCTTTTTTCAATTGGTGTGGATATACAATAGGCTCTAAATATTGTTTAAATTAACAAATGTAAAGGAAAAAACTTTTTAAAATTTCTTTTATTTAATTTTTACTTATTAAAAAATAAGTATTTCTATATTGTGCATACATAATTATTACCTTATTCACAGCAGCACCATTTTTAATGGGAAAGAATGTGAAGCTGTGAGGGATAGGCTCATCTCTTCAGTGGGTTTTTCTGTTATTGTTTTTTGATAGTTCTGCTGATGGAACACTGCAAAAATATCTCTCCAAGAAATATCAGTGGACAACCCCCCCCCCCCCCCCCCCCCCCCCCCCCATAAACAATATGAGCTGTGGAAAATTATTGGTGATCTAGGAGCTTTATACAGCTTTTTACAGCGGATGCCATTGAAAACTCGGTCTAATCAAGTCCTAATCAAGTCTATCCCTCAGCCTCGCTTTCATACCGGACAAAGCGCAGCTCTGAATAAAGTCTTTATTACAATACTATTTAAATATGATTAGAACTAAAAAATGTCATGGCCAAAATTCTTTGTTTATGTCAAAGTATCTATTATCTCTGTTTCAGCCAAGATATTTGGTCTACCGTAAAAAAATGGTTTCATTGAAGTCAAAAAGTATTTTTAACCTAAATATATTAATTTATACCAACTAAACTCATTTATATGGGTTAAATCGGGCACAGATAGCTCTTTAATGTAACAGTTGCAGAATTGACATTGAAATTTTAGTCAGTGCAAATTAAATGGAGAAAATCTTGGGAAAAAAAGTATATTTTTTTAATTTTTGGAATTAACATTGGAAACCCTGGCTAAACGGCCTGTCACTAGTGTTTTGCATATTAGACTTCAGAAAAATGCAGCCTTCTAAAACAGTTGCATGTGTTCATATGACAGATGTTTGTGTTGATTAAGAATGTGTAAACAGAACAGTCTTTGTGCTGTCCTTAGCAGCGTGTGCGTGTCATTTCTAACTGTTTCTGATTTCACAAGCGTGGTGGACTTTACAGTGTGCATGAGAACGCGCCTGTGTTACGTTAAACTTTAGAATGTTTTCCTTGCTCTTGTGGTTGTGATAGTGAGAGGAGCTCAGCCTGGCCAGCGAGATCACTTCCTGTCTCTGGTAAGCATGAAAAACCAACAAATGCATCAGTGAGGTTCAGTGTGTACTGAGGGCCAAAGTGAGCTCTGACAGCAGCATAAATTGGGCACACAGCGATGCAGCATTCACCGACCATAGAGACAGCCAATCGGTGTGGTTTTCTTGGTGCAAATTGTTCTCTTGAGCGGTAAATGCTGCTGCTTGATGTTTGAAAATGTTCATGAAATTGTGTCCAGTCATAGATTGACCTTCCCTTAGAGTATAAGCATTACTTAGTTTTTGTGAGCAGTCCAACAGGTCGATTTTTCACTCCAGAAATGAAATGAGTTTGGGGCAGAACTCATTTTTTCAAGAGTGGCAGATGGGTGTGGGAAACCGGTTTACAAGTGCTATTTTGGAAATTCTCTTGATGCTGCTGTAAATGATTTGTTTGTTTACAAAATACAAATTGACATTGGCTCTTAATTGTGAAAATTATGATGAAATGGCTGTGAATTCACTGCTGAAAAAGAATGGCAAGTTTTCTTTTTGCTAAAGCTGCTGTACCTGCATATCTTGGCACCATAATTCTGTGGCCCACACTAAATCTCTCTCTCTCTTTCTCTTTCTCTGCAGTGTGTAACTTCATGTCACATGAGAAGTGTTTGAAGCACGTCAGGACCGTGTGTTCCTGTATGGCTCCCACACAAGTTCGGGTGAGTGACACGTGCCACACATAACATCTGAAAGAACCGACAAACATCAGTAACTATGTGAGTAAATGCCAAGAAATCTCTAAGAAACATGTCCTGGTCATATTTTACCCAAAAAAAAAAAATGAAAGAAAAAAAAAATGCTTGAAGAAGATTATTTTCACTTTAAAGGTTTTTGCATTGTGCCTTTTTTTTCTCACAACTAAACTCAAAATTCTTGTTACTGTAACTAAAAATCATTACTGTAATGCAAACATATTTATTATGTATTTTTTCATAACTAAAAAATACTCCATTACAACAATAATGAGAATCTACTACGAATCACGATTCAAAATAAATTCTTCAAAATAATTCCTCTTAAAAATAATTCTTCCTAAAAAAGTCAATCATATGGATGCAAAAAGTATTAATTTTTAGGCTTCATTTTCTTTATAATATATATGTTACTGGGACATGATCTTGAGATTGATTGATTGATTGATTGATCCATCCATCCATCCATCCATCCATCCATCCATCCATCCATCCATCCATCCATCCATCCATCCATCCATCCATCCATCCATCCAAGACACTGTGAATATTATACTTACACACATAAGGCAAGACAAGGTTTATTTACTCGGACATCCCACTAACAACATTATTGAGGCATCACGATGCTGGATGGATGCTCTGATAATACAGGACATGAAGTCTCAAACAATTATGCTGTTAATGAAGAATGATCAAACTGTTTCATAGGGTATGATCATGCAAGAAAGATCATAATTTGCAGTTAATGCTTACCTGTCGTCTTCGTGGCTTTGCATTACAAACAGGAAGTGCAAGTGCATTATGTCCTGAATCTACATTAAATAATTTAGTCCTCGTATACTGACTGGAGCTGTTTTGCTCCGTGACACAGCAGTCAGTGTAACCCTTTGTCCAGCCTTCATAATGAATTACTGATGACTTCCTGTCGCGTTGTGGTCTTTCATGAAGGCCAGCTGTCAGCCAGCCTTTGTGCCGTTGATAGCAGCTCATCTAGCAATCTAGAAGAGCTGCTATCAGCCTAGACCGGAAGTTTTTTTGGCCCATTGTACTCACTACTGATTATAAACACCATCTATAGTTGATAAACTCATTGTACTGATTTGATGCAGGTCCCGATCCCTGTGAATTTTAGAAGTGGCCTTGCTGATATGAACATATTGTGTTGGCATGCTAATTTGGTTTATTATACTTTGCTCTGGAATACTTGATTCTGATTGGTTAGTCACATATGAGACTTTAAAATTAATGTGACTTTTTTTTTTTAGAACCTCTAGAAAATGTTGTTAATTTGTTTAGTTGTCTGTTCTTTATCCTTGGAGAATCGTAATCTCAGTTTGAAACAAAAATATTGTGATTGTCAATTTATCCAGAATCATGCAGCTCTAGTGCTACTTTATTGCATTTTGTATCATTCCACAGTCTTCATATACAGATAAATGTCTAACGGTAACTATGGTAACTAGTCCATAGAAAAAAATATTCAAAATGAATAATTACATATATTATAATAATGCAATATTGTTTCAGTGTTCGTCCATTGTCATTTTAGTATTATTAATATACTATTATAGTATTTATTATTATTTTGAGTAAGCTTTTATTTTTATTTTTTATACAGTTTATTTGTATATAGCTTTTAATAAGTTTAAGTTTTAGTCATTTTAGTACTTAAACTTATTTATTTCAGTTAGTTGCCAAGGCAACATTTTAAAAAATAATTTTATATAAAAAAAAAAAAATATATATATATATATATATATAATTTTATATCTAAATTTATATATACAATTTCTTTATTTCAATTACCAAACAATGTTTTTACGAGTTAAGTTAACGAGTACGAGTCTTAGTTAACGATAACATCTGTTTGCCTTGTTGCTAGGCCAGTTGTTTTTGACATTATAATGGACAAATTTGACTTACTTGGATACTAATAAAATAATTTGAACTGAAAATCAATATTTTGTGTCCATGCATTTAATTATTTAAAGAACAATGAATTAAGTGGGATTGGAATGTAATAATTGGGATTTATCTGGCTCTTTTTTATAATAATGTCTATACACTCTCCATTGAACAGTTGCTGTGACTTGAAGAAAAACTGCTATTGTTGTTTTTTTTAAAACAGGATGTACATTTAGCATGTAAAAAATAACACATCTTGCTGGTTACCAGCTATCGAAAAAGTAACCACATGAGATGCTCGCTTCTTAGAAACTGCATCCTCTCAATGTGCTGATGCACATCAGGGCTGAGTTCCCACCCAGCAAAACCCGCCTTGCTTTAGCCAAATGACACAGAGGTAACACTGACCGGCCAATCGCATCAGAGCAGCCTCAGGGCATGACAGGAGACCGAGTCGAGCACCATGCAGAAAAACTTAATTTAGACCAAAAGATAATGAGGTGGAACAGAAACCACTGGTCTGAATCAAAGACGGGCCCTCAGAGAATCTACTGGAAGTTTGCCTTCATGCATAATGAATGAAGAGACAAAACAAGAAAGTAAATGCAGTGTTTTGATTCTCTTTTTCTAGTTTCTTAGGCTTTAAGAGTGGTGCATTCAGTTTGAAAAGGAAGTGGATATGACTTTTTCTGTACTGGCTGAAGACATTTTTCTTAGCTATGTGTGTGTGGGTGGGTGGGTGGTGTGGTAGGGTGGGTGGGTGGTGTAGGAGTGAGTCAGTCTTCGAGCCAACTGCTCCATTAACCTTTACTCAACAACTTCTCTGAACCGCATCTGAGGGAATACAAACACAACAGTCGCAGCCATTTGACACTATTATTACTGAAAGTCAAGAATATGTCCTTTAAGACTTGAGAAAGTCGTCTTTCTACGTCTGTGGATAAAAATGTTGTTAAAATAAACAAATAATTGAAGACTTCATGTGCACAGAACACATTTAACTTCTGGAATGGTACGTATTTCCATTTGAAACAGAATATTTGGCATAGTGGAAGTTGACATCATTTTGGTTGGAACTTCAGTGTTTTGATTGAGGATTGTCATTGTTAGGCTCTTATATTATTGGTTAATAATATGTTTCCCTGTCTGGACAGCTTTGATTAATGTTAGTGGAATTAATAGGTAATTTAAGGTGTGGACTAGAGAAAGTAAATTTAATTAAATATCATACACTGATGAATTATAAACAGTAAGACCAGATACCAGTGTTCTTTTATTATTATTTATAGTTTTTTTTCCCCCGTTTCATTTTTTCAAGAAGTATTTCATTTAATATTTATATTTTATTTTATTTCAGTGTTATTTCAATCCCTGAAAAGTTTTATATTGTTATATATTTATTAACTTTTTATATCTTTCACTTTTTTACTCGCCATGAATATAGCCATGGTAGCTGAGATTTTTTTTTATAGTTTTAGTTACCAATAACAGCACTGTCACTGTCATTTTTTATTTAATTTAGTCTTTAAAGTGATGAATTATGAATCTTAATTTATAATATGAATATTACTCTTGAAAACCATCCAAAACAACAGCAAAAAAGAGTGAATAGTATTAAAGGGGTCATATAATGCCATTTTTGTACAAGCTAGTATGATTCTTTAGGGTCTAAATTAAAAGTTTGTGATATACTTTAATTAAAAATTCTCATTAGTATTGTAAGAAAACACTTATTTTACCTGGTCAAAAACAGCTCTGTTTTCAGCACGCCGTTTCAGTGCATATGACTTTAAATGATAATGAGCTTTGCTCACCCCGCCTCTCTGTGCTGTGCGTACACCGTTTGTAACACAATAACACAATAACCATAACGCGTTGTTCAGTATAAACGTGGGATTATGAATTATATTGAGAACATCATACATAGAAAACATGCCGTAATGTACCCTGAGTGTAAACCTTAGACGCATTCATTGTGAAGCGTGCAGCTAGCGATTTGCAAAGATTAATATAAATATTAATATAAAGGTTAATAAAACGTTACACTCACTTCAGTTCTTCTAGAGGTTCAGCAGGAACACGAATAGCTGGTACCGATCCTTTTTCAGGAGCAGCTTCTTAGCAAAACCAGCTTTATACTGACCCTCGTTTATAAAGCAGTCTGGTGAGAAATGATTCGCGCAAACATGAGAGCATTGACGTTGCTCGTGGGGAATATTCCCTTCGAAAACAAACTCAGCCACTGCGTCTTCAGCGGTTCGGATTTAGGAACATTAAAATGACTGCTGTGTTCGTTATTACACCCAAGAACAGAACACCACAATCGCCTAGACACCATTCTGCTCATAGACAGTGCTCCAGCATATCAACAATGACCGCGCCGGTCCGCGCAGACTATGATTGACAGCTCCCTCATGAGCGAGGGCGGGTCTGTGTTGAAACGCTCCTGTCAATCAACAACCGTGGGAGGGGCTTCCGAGCGTGTGACGTCACAAGGTCGAACGGCTCGATTTGAGGCAGGGGAAAACATATAAGGAGATTAAAACAAAAACACAGGATGGATTTTTATCATTTTATGATGGTTGTGTACAGGCACTGCCAACAAACATTTCAGTACAATCAACTTGTAAAAGTGCATGTACCATTATATGACCCCTTTAAATATCTCTCATCCAGAACTCAAGAACAAACAGTTTGCTTTTTAGCATTTATTTTCATCCATTTGTTCTGAAAGAACAGATGGCTACCAGAAGTAGGCTACCTCAGCAGTAGCCATTTACAGGAGCCAATCACCTTTAGGATCAGAGAGATGGCGGTTAATAACAGGAAACGAGGTCATGTCCGGTAGGATGCTCTGCAGTCTACTGTAGCAACTCCCTAGGGAGGGAAAGAGCCAGTAAGGATGTGTCCACTGCAGGAGGGAGAGATGGGCCGCAGCTCAAGGACACATGCAAAGTGTGTGTGTGTGTGTGTGTGTGTGTGTGTGCTCGCATCATCAGTGTTTGGGGCCTCATCAGCAGAGATTTTGAGTACCTTAGCAACCTTAAACACAAAACCTCACCATAATGTCCTTATGTGGAATTATATATTTTGTGTCCCTAGAGTTTAGGTATTTTCTGTGCAGTGGTCATATTTTGGTTCGTGACATTTCACAGCATTATGAAAATGTAAGGCAGTCCAGACTTTTAAACAGCTGTTCCTTGTTGTGACATCAGCGAGTTCGATTTCTGGCACCCTGACAAGCATCTAAATATCCTGATTTGCTTGAGCAAAGGTCAAGCTATTTTTCGTCGTATTTCCGAGTCATAAATTCAAATCTTGAGTAAAACACCTAATCTATCCCGTCGTTCACTGAGCCGTGTGCTGTCGTGAGAATTTCTGCCCTTAAATGTCACTTTAATTTTTCACTGAAGCTGACAGGTATGCCTAGCAGCACAGAAATGGAGTTAATGTCCCCTGCCTTTTTGCAGTGCTTGTATGTTCACAAATTGTCACTGGACACATTTGTAGCTATCTACCCCTAAAGAATACATATTATGTTAAGGGTACATACAGTATTTAATGCTAATATGGACCATTTAGGGCTAGATCAGGTCAAAAGTTTGGAGTCTTAATACATTTTACTAATAATTAATACTTTTATTAATCAAAGATGTATTCAATTGATCAAAAGTGACAGTAAAAACATGTATAATGTTACTAAAGATTTCAAATAAATGCTGTTGTTTCTATTTGTCAAAGAATCCTGAAAAACTGCATCATGATTTCCACAAAAATTATACGCAACACAAATATTTTTTAACATTTCAACGTACTATTTTAAATTTCGACAATATTACTGTTTTAACTGCATTTTTTATCAAATTAATGCAGGTATGGTGAGCAGACGAAACTTTCAAAAACATGCCCAAACAAATTTAGCAGTGTTTTAATTGTGCCACGGTGTTTTTCTTGAATAGTTTCTCTCCATTTTAAACTGGGCCAGGAGAAACTGGGATGTGGAAAAATGACACACTTCACTTTTAAGAATGCTTAATGGAAATGTTCAGCAGCATAGTCATCCTAAAGGGAGTTTTCCGTCAATTAAAGGGAGTTTTTCCTGTGTGTGGGGAATTAAAAGGAGGTTTGTTTACTTTTTTGCAGCATGACTTTCAGTATGCGAATGGAGACCATCAGCTCAAGAGCATGATGGAAGCAGTGCAAGACATGGCTCTCCAGATGTTGCTCACTCTCACTTCCCATAATGCCTTGGATGTTTGGTTTGGTAACATAAAACTTCTAACCACCAATTCACCACCCCAACAAAATATTTGTATAATTTTTTACAAACCTGCACATCAATCCAAACCAAACCAAAGACCTGGAGATATGTATCCAGAGTCACAGTGCTGCCCATCACGAGTGAGAGAATGGGAAGGTAGATGGCAGAAAGGCTGACTTCTCCTCCCACGTTTCTGTGCCGTCACAATCTTCTGTGTGATTCACAATGTGTTCCCGTGAAATCAGTCGTTACAGATGGGCACACGCATCATGACAGCCCAGCTGGGATTTGTCAACACATCTCTTCACTATATCAGAACATCTTGCTATGGGTCTTTGGTAGTTCCAGACAGGCTCACATTTGAGTTATATTCCAGATAACTGGATGTCATTTAGTTGATTCCATTTCCAGTTAGAAGTGGTAATCTTCACATTCTTTATGATTCTGTTTGATTCATTTGCATGTTAGATGTAAAGAGAGCCTCTGTAGGAAGGAAATGTGTGGAAGGAAAGGGAGAACTGCTCTCAGGCCATTCCCCCTTTCTTTGAGTGCATTTAATTGTATATGTTTGGTTAAACAGGTTAAACACTTTTAAATATAAAGCTTGAATGCACTCTGACGCTTTCAGTGGAAGGATTGGGTTTCAGTGTTGTATTATGTTCACTTTTATCGTATTGTGCTGTACTGTACGCTGAAACAAAAAAATCGAAATATGGCCCATGCTTAGTAGGGGTATACGGTACTTCCCATTCCTTAACTTATTATTAAGACATATACTGTACATTGAAACCTTCCTCTATTATATTTATATAAATCTGTCTATTTGTGGTCTGCGATGCTGGTACATGAGGTCAAAGGGAAAATAAATCAGCTATTTAAATCCTTAAATTCTCTACTTCCCTCCCCCAGACGGGAAGGAAGTGCGGGCATCTGCGCACTTTCCCACCATTCACACCACTCAGACAGGAAGTGATGTCACATGGAAGCACAGATCTGCCGGTTTGCTCATTGATACATGGACTAGCCCATTAGTGATGTCTGATTTGGGACTAATAGTATGATTAAGCCAGTTATTTTAATGACTAATTTAAATGATGAATGACAAACTTTCCAATACTTCATTGAAACATACTGATACTCTAAAGTGAACGAAATGTGAATGAAATTAGTTTCAGTGTGGATCAGGGCAATGTGCCCTTCCAAGTGGTGTCGGAAATATCGTAATTACCAATTCTAAGCATATGAATGACCAAGCTAAATTCTGGGAAACTTTTTAGATGATACAAGTTGGAAGGGGTATGTCTATTTGAAACATGGTGGAAACCGGAAACACTGATCTAGAAGATACATCTATAATCTGTATAGAGATCAGTTAGTGGAAAGCAAATTTGTCACGAATGGTGTTAATCTCTCAACTTTCACAGTTTGCTTCACGTATAAATGGGATACCCCATATACATAGTGATAGAAATTATATTTTGAATTCAGATGTAGCTATAATTTTGTTTAGGCTGCTTCTACTTTAGGCTACTTTCCGACTTGAATAGGTGACATGTTGTAATAACGAACACCGACAGCAAGTTTCCCAGGTGCATTTGAAGATTTGATTTTATTAATCATGCTTCTCCTTGTTTGTGTTCCAGGTTCCTGTAGCACATTGCTTCGGTCCTGCTGGTCAGAAGAAGAGGTTCTGCTGTGTTTGCCGGAAGCATCTGGAAGGCAGTTCGGCTCTGCGCTGTGAAGGTGTGTGAGTGTGTGTGAAGGAGGATGTTATAAATTCAGAATAAACAAAGTGTTGATTATAACCTAAACTAATTTGGGCTCATATGACAATTTTTAGTTTTCACCGGCAGAATTGATGCATTTGAAGCAAATTAGTCATTTAGTTCAAATAGGTAATTTAAGGATAGTTCACCCAAAAATGAACATTTTGTCATCACCCTCATTTCATCTGAATCTGTATCTTTTTTCTGTAGGACATAAAAGAACATATTTTGAGAAATGTCTGGTTTTTTTTTTTTTGGAAGTCAATGGGCACCAAAACGGTTTGATTACCAGCATTCTTCAGAATATCTTTGTGTTCCGTTGAATAAGTTATGAATATCTCTTTATGTGTGTAGTATCAAAAACAGCCTGTTTAATTCTAAGGGTCAGAGAGGGGGTGGAAAATGTTCACGTTAAATTAAATTATAGTCTTGACTCAGAAGTGATCTTCTGGGAAAATAACAAAAATGACTAGAAAGCCGTATGATATGGCCTATTTGAAGCCTATCAGCTGCTGTTGGTTAGATATTTCCATTGCTAATGCACATTAATATGATTTGCTGATCAGGCTGATTTGTTTTGCTAGTTTTAGAGAGGTTTTTGGGTACTGTATGGCTGACTAACTAAACTAGCTAGCTCGGCCAGGCCGGCAAACCAGCTTGAACAAGCTTAAAGGGGCTATGTAAGAATTTTCATGTATTGATCGCTTTTTTATTGCCAACAAAAAACAAAAAATTGAGACTTTCCCCGACTTCCTAGGTTGTCTATGAAAGCCTGATTTTTATGTAAAGGACTCGGGACATTTTTGCTGGGAAAATTAAAAGGATGTGGCATTTACATGTGCTCCCGAGAGAATCTTTTCCGTTCAATGACACACGAATGCATTATGTTAAGGATAATGCCGTAAGAGCCATTTTGGACTGTAATTCCCAATGCGTCATTCAAAGAAATGGGATTCATTCAAACTCTAGTCTCACATAATCCTTATAATCATAGTTTGATTATAAAATATTTTTGAGAATATAGACAATATAGATCATAGTCTATATTCTCAAAAATACTTTATAATCAAACTATCATTACAGTGTCATTTCCATTACCTCATCTGCCGACATGATGCCAGTGAATTGCAGAGCTGGTGCAAACATAACCTACGATCCGATGCTTTAATCTGCTGTTTTCTCACCGCTGTTATTTTTGTTGTATCTTTATTTTGTTATTGAGAGGAAAGCGTGCAGCACATATTTACATATTCATCTAAACGGCGCTCTCGGCATCGCGGACGGCTTCTAGATGTCCGTTAACGGTATTTCACTGCAAATGTATTTCCAACTTTTTACTTTTAAGCGAAGAACAAAAAAGGACTTATACTTATGTGCACGAGTGCGAGTAATAAGTAATAAGTTGCTGGGTGCAGTTCAATTAACAGCCACTGGTGTCGCTAATAACATGGGTTTCTGAATTCTACATATAGCTCCTTTAAAGGACGAAAGTAGGTACAGATAGATTTTATCTGCAGGGTTGCGGATATCTTAAAGACCCCTGTAGTCAATAATTGTATCCCTTAAAACTCATCTTTGATCACCAAAGCGACATTTTTAAACGTTTTTTTTTTTCCTTGAAAAAAATGTCTTCATGCCTTAAAATGGTTTAAATGTAACTCTACACCCTCGCTTCATTTAGTATATGTGGTTATATTAATATGCAAATTAGCCCCGTCTCCACTCACTCGCACCAGCTCAGAGATCCACTCGTTGACGATCACACGTTGACGTGATTGGTTACAAGGTAGTTTGTGACGTCAGAGAAACCAGCGATTTCAAACCGCGTTTTTGAAACTCCAGTTTTAAGAAGAAAATACTCAGCAATGGTGTTGACTTATGAATTTGCACATTTGACTTATGGTTTGTCTTAAAGTATATTAAAACATCACATAGACATCTAAAAAACATTAAAAGCTTGATTTTCACCACAGTGGGACTTTAAGCACTCAAAATATAATTTCCCTTATTTTAACAATCTGGCTCGCTCAATGTTTCTCATAAAACCTTTTCTGTTTCCCCAAACCCTTGGTCTTGGTCTTGGTCTTGGTCTTTTTTTTCTTTTCTTTTTTTTCTGTTATTGCTCATTTGTCTGTGCTGGCTGTTCCTGTTTGGAAAGCTGCTGTTTCCATGGAAATGGCAGAATGGCCTTTTGCAGTGGGCTGAATTCTAAGAACTGAGCTGAAAAGAAAAACATCACACTTCAAATCTCTCTGTTTCTATTTCTCTTCCTCTCTCTTGCATACAAAAGGCACAAATGAAGCTCACAAGGAAAGTCGATCTTTAATTCCCACACACACTTAAACAGTTGCTACAATAATATGAATTAAGTGGCTTTTCCCTCTATTAGGCCTGTAACACCTCACAGGCAGTACTAATAGTGCCTGTGCTAATAAAATGAAAATACCAAATGTTTCACCTCAGATGATGCTTGCTTAGTGGATAAACCACATAAAGACACTCCCTATTCTTTCAATAACCTTACCTCACGTGTCTTTCAGTGTGTGAGCTACATGTCCACAGCGACTGTGCCCCGTTCAGTGTTAGCGATTGTCGTTTCTCTCATCAAGATGGAGGGCAAGACATTGTGAGTATGAGAACCAGGACTGCACCATCTCCTTCTGTTTCTACTGATCTATTAACCTGACATTTAAAGCCTAACATTAAAGGCTGACCTCAATTTGAAAAGTAATTGAATTTTTCATAGCTTGTCAAGCTTTTCTTCACACTTCAAATTATGTTGTTTGGTAGATTTTAATTACATCAGTACTGATTAACACTACATGTTGTCTTCTTATTGTTATTTGTGATTGCACAACGTTATTGTTGTCCACGCATTTGGGAGTTTCGCGTGAGGGCTTAAAAATACTGCCTTCTAAGGTAGGATGGCATCAAGGCACGTCCGAATCCAATGTTCGCTTCTTTTCCTATCAACTGAAATACCTTCATCTGATCATTTTGGAAGGCAGCATAGAAGTATCCTTCGCTGCCTTTGATATCCCACAAACCTGTGCTTTCCATTCTGTGACAGTTGAGCTAAAAAAAAATGAAGATGGCATCTGAAAGTTGTGGTTGGTGGTCAGTTTGTGTGTAAATGTACTTTATTGGCCAACATTTTCCACTTTTGATGTTATTTCTAGCAAGAAATTACTATTGTAGTAATTAAATATTCGCTTAGTTAATACCAATGATTTGTTGTAGATCATTAAACCATTATGCTACCTCACGAGGTACCTTTGTTCGCAAACGCTGCCTGTAAAGTCATTACCTATAGGGCAGCAAGGCAACAAGTCAGCTGCCTTTCTACTTAGAGTTTGATCTATAATTAGAAATGATCTAATTACATAATTCTAAATTACCGCTAAATTTGGAGGGGAAATGATTGGTTGATAAGAATGTTGTTCAACCCCAGCAGAAAGTATAACTAGGATGTTGATCCAGGAGCATGTCCTCCTGGTTAAATCACATCTCTATTATTGCTCTAGATTGTGTTATTGGCCACATGGCTTTTCCTAACCCATCATCTCCTCCTGCTCCGATAGGACACGTACCAGCATCACTGGCGGGAGGGCAACATGTCCTCAGGTGCCCGTTGTGAGTTTTGCCGTCGCACCTGCAGCTCCTCAGACGTCCTGGCTGGCATGAGATGTGAGTGGTGTGGCGTTACGGTAAGTGTTCGTTTCTCGTTTTTATAGTGCACCCAAATTTTACTTGTCTTAGCATTCATCGCTTTCAGTTTGCCTGTTGTCGGCTGTATTCATCACACAAACAGCTTCATTATTTAGTCATAAGAATGAAGGTGAGTGGGCTTTTAGGCTGTCGTGTTTTAAAGAATCAATCAATTATTTAACAGGTGCAATGTGGGATGCAGCTCCTGTCAGCACTCACAAAATTGTACTCGGTCAAAGTTGAATGCAGGAAAAAAGTCTTGCTGCTTGCTGTGTTATTATTCCTCTGTCATCTTGGCAGTGGCTATTTTTTCTGTTGCCTGGCCTGGTTTCTTACTTTGGATTGTTGCCAGATTGCCTTTTGTTTCAAAACCAGTTATATCCTTTATAGACACCATTTTAAGGCATCAAAAGGTAGACAACCTAATTATGCTGCCTCTTAAGATATTTCTTTTTTCAGATCCTAAGACAACATCTCTTATATTTTTTACAGAGAAGGCAATCCCAGAATGCATTACTCTGGCCTGAAATAAAAAAAATAATTCCAAGATGACAGATGAATGATGCAAGAGAAATGTACTTATTATGCATTAAACACTGAAAAGTATGAATAAAAATCAGTTTTAAATGATTAGTTTATGAATAGTTATGATGACTGTTTTCTATTTTAATAGATTATCAAATGTAATTTATTCCTGTGATGCAATGCTGAATTTTCAGCATTTTCAGACTCATGATCCTTCAGAAATCATTCTAATATGCTGATTTGGTGCTCAAGAAACATTTCTAATTATTATCACTGTTGAAAACAGTTGTGCTGCTTAATATTTATGTGAAAACTGTGATACATTTTCGATAGGATTCTTTGATGAATAGAAATAGCATTTATTTGGAATGGAAAGATTTTCTAACATTGCAAATGTCTGTACTATCACATTTGATCTATTTAATGCTGAAGAAAAGCATTCATTTCTTTCAAAAAGAAAAAAATCTCACTGACCCTTACTGGTTTGATTGTTAAGATATGCTTGTTGTTAGTCCTTTCATGATGCCTGTTGTTGAGTCAGCCACTTTGCACTAATTGTATGGCCACGTTCCAAATCACTCACTTATGAGTTTCCATTTCAGTTAGGATGCTGACTTAGAAGTCACCTGCCTACATCGAAGATGCAATTTTTGCAAGAGAGCCACTGTGTCAATAGAGTTACATACTGTACCAATGGCTCAGTCTCCACTCTCCACTCCACTGCACTCCAGCTAACACAACATGTCCCTCTGAACACTAGCATCCATTCCATCCTCTCCCCAGCTCTCAAAGTTTTTCAGCATGTACTGTAGGTTAGTACATGATGTAAGCAGTAGCGCCTGAGCAAAAGGTTTTTTGAGGACAAGAGGCTTCAGGGTCTATATTTAAAATGGCTGGTTGCAGCTCTAATACTTTGAAAGCACCAACCTCTAGGATTTTGAGAACAAAGACACAAGAAAAAAATAATTTATACACACAAGACTGTAGCTTTATTTTATTTGAGTCGAGGTGGTGTGGTCTAGTGGTCAAATATGTTGTTAGAAACCCTGCAAAGGTCAATCCATGAATGGTAAACCAGTGTGCTCTTCAGCAAGCCACCTAACCCCTGGTTAATATAGCACCCTTAATACAGGAACAATGTCCCTATATGTTGCTTTGGATAAATAAATGAACCATCTGTTGTCATTATTATTAGAAAAATTGCAGTTGTCATAAATCTGTACTGTAGCTTGTGAGCTTATCTGTGTTTATATGTTTGCAGGCACATGCATCATGTTACATAATCATGTCCCCGGAGTGCAGCCTGGGACGACTGCGGAACATGATTCTTCACCCCAGCTGCGTGTCGATCTGCTCGCGGAACTTCAGCAAGATGCACTGTTACAGAATCTCAGAGAATTCCCAGCACGGCGAGATGGGTAATGCTGCCTAGACACTCATCCCTGAAATCTGAGCAGACACCTTAAAGTTAAAGGAATGTTCCGATTCACGACAAGGTGGCTGCATTAGCACAATCATTTTGACTTGTTCATCAAGGTGGTAAAAACGAGCAAAAAATGTGTTTGCACTTAAATATAGGTTTGGGGTAAGATTTAAAAACGTACTTTTAGCAAGGACGCATTAAAATAATCAAAGATTCCTTTGAAAAAAAAATCAAGGTTTCTACAAAAAACTGTTTTCAACATTGATAATAATGAGAAAGGTTTCTTGATCACCAAATCACCATATTAGAATGATTTAGCTTTGAATGAGAAAATTCAGCTTTGCCATCACAGGAATAAAGGACATTTAAAAAAAAAAATTTTTTATTTATTTATTCGGTTTGGTCATTTACAGATCATTCAATCAATCAAATCATTCGAAACATAAACACTATAGATGACCAGGTGCAGGCAGAAGCTAAAGCTTATTGTGCCTGCCCTTAACTTTAGAATCATAAATGCAACTCATTAATGACACCATCTGTTTCATAAAATTAACATTAACACATTAGTGGACCATTGTCCACACCAGAAGCAAGCCTATTTAATTAATTTTCATTCTATTGAATATTTTTCCAATGTTAATCTCTTGTAAAAAATTTTAAACTGAAAAATAGACGTGGCTTGTTTTAACTCATTACAGCAACTATTCCACAATTTAACTCCTTTATTTGTTAAACAGTGTTCTCTTAATGTAGAATGTACTTGTGGTTGGTTAAATATACATAGTCCTCTGAGATTATATTTACTTTCTCGCTGGTTAAATAATAATTGCAAGCATTTAGGAGTTTTATTATGTTTGACTTGGTAAATAAACTTTACCGTGTACAAATCAACTAAGTCATAAAACTTCAACATTTTTGATTGATGAAACAGTAAATTACTTGGTGAATTGTAAGGTGCATAGTTAATTAATCTGATAACCTTCTTTTGTAATAGGAAAATTGGATTGGTTCTAGTTTTGTATGTATTTCCCCATATTTCAATACCATATGTTAAGTATGGTGTGACAAGTGAACTATAAAGTAAATGTAAAGCATTTTTGTTCAAAATACATTGCAACTTATACAAAATTGCAATCGTTTTTGATACTTTCTTCTGAACGTTGAATATTAAACGTTGAATATTCAGACGTTGAATATTAAACGTCTGAACGTAAAATATTAAAATAGAAAACAGTTATAATGATACAATTATAATAATACTTCACAGTATTAGATTTATGTATTAGTATGATTTTGATCACATACATGCATCCTTGGTGAACATTAAATGCCTTTCAAAAGCATGAAAATTTTGTTACGGGACTGGATGTGTCATGTGAAAGTTACAGTGATACTATTAGATATAACTTTGCATAGTTCATCAATCAAGTCTTATGATTACACCCATAAGCGGTAAGTCTTGTGGCTGTACTTTAGAAATGTTGTGGTTAATATCCCCTCTGCAGTGCCCTATAGATTTCCATTACTGAACACATGATTTTTGCTTGTTTTTACAAACTGTGAGGCATGTCACAATCGTTTTCTTTGGTACTCGACTGCACATGTCACAGACGTATTGAACTTGTATTGAACCCAGAACATTTCTTCAATGTCAATGAGCACAATAATTATTTTCCGTTTTAATTTCAGTTTTCTACCATTAAATGTGTAAGCCTTGAAAATGAGATGGTTGTGAAATTGCACATTTAAAATGTATCCCTTTTAATTCATTGTTAGACTGTCCAATTCACCTTTGAATATCAAATAACAAGATCACATGTCTGTAAATGCTCATAGAGAAGTGTGTTTTCTCCAGATAACCTGGATGAGGCCGATACTCCGAGTCCGGTAACGTCAAAGGAGACTCAGTCCACGGGGTCACCTGACACGGGTACAAAACTGGCCAAAAATGACATCATGGCTAATGGTAATCACACTTGCAGCCAAAGTAATCTCCCATCTTTTGGCCTAGGTAAACAGACGCTGAAGGTTTTCGATGGTGACGATGCAGCTAAGCGCAATCAGTTTCGCTTGGTTTCGATCCCTCGAATAATCAAGAATGAGGAAGTGGTGGTGAGATGTTTTTTCCTTGATCAGGTTTCACCTGAATTGCAATGTATACATTTTACAATGAATATATACATCAAAAGTGTTTTATAAAGATCATGCTTGAATAACATTCAAACTTCATTGTCAGTGTTATTCTGATGTTTCTGATTTCCGGTTCTGACAGGAAGCGGCGCTCAGAGCGTTCTTCATCCCAGATGAGCCGCAGGATTATGAGCTACAGAGTTCCAGCCAACAGGGACTGTTTACAGATGACATCATCAACCGTAACGGCACCCCGGACAACAAGCCCATTTTTAAAGACACTGTGTCTGATCCCTTGGTGCTCAGAGCAAAACCCAGAGAAACAGAGGTGGTGAAGATTTACCCCAGCTGGCACAAGTGAGCTCTACTTCTGCTTTTTCAGTGCATCATGTTCTGCTGTTTTTTTTTAGTGTTGTCCGACTGCCATAGATTGATTCACAAGGAACTGTACAAGAATGTAGAGTAAACGCATTCTTTAAAGCAATATTTCAGGTTAAATTCAAGTTCTGTCAACCAACGGCACCTGTAGCATGCTATTTAAAGTCAACATGAAACCACATTTTTCTTCCACAATCCAATATATTTGAACTGAAATTGAATATTTAATGAGAGAAAAACATGTAGTATGGGCCTTGATTTTATATACAAGGACTTGAAAATTCATAAGACTTGTTCGGAAATGGTTCGAAAATGAGAAGACTTGGTGACATCAGCTGGAAAGTTAAAGTAATTTTAGTAATTTTATTTTCTTACATTTTTTTCTTATATTTTGAAAAGATATGATTAGTCATGACTCAAGTACAATTAGACCAGTAATGTGTATTAAGAAAGTAAATGATTTCACATTAAGTTTAAACCATAATATTCCTTTAAATAACCCACAAGCTACACAAAGAAAATGCTGAAGATGTGCGATATTTACAAAAAAATTGTTATCTTGATTATTTTCTGGGTTTTAGTCAATAACGTTTATTAATTAGACAATATTTTATCAATGACTCAGGGCAGTCGCGCGCTCTGTTTTCATTTGGGAAATAAAGCAAGTGTTGTATGAAATCAATTTCACATTTGCACTCATGCTGATATTTGAGAAGAACAGCACGCTTGCTTGTGATATTGCTTATATTCATGTCATTGTTAAGACTAAAACATACAGAGGCATTTGAGGCACCCATCTTGAATTTTGAGGGCGTTCTGTATACTAATAGGCCACTCAGTGTCAGCTTGCACTTTGTTATATTATCGTAGACAATACACACCGCACACCCCTATTTAGAAGACGAAGTTAGCTTTATATAGGTAAGCAGAACAGAATGGAAAATGGATTTTACATACAAACACATCATAAAGAGGCTCACTTCTTGCGTCAGAACGGAGGTTCTAGCTTACAGTTTACTTATCTGAGGGTTTTATGGCACATCAATCCCCTCGCTTCTCCAAACAAACCATATATCATCTCCAGGCATTGCAAGGAAATGGACAATAGTTGTGTCGTGTACGAGGGCAAGTGTATATGAAACCCATCAAAACACGCACTGCTCGACTGATGACAGTCTTGCTGTTGTGTGTCCAGTTGCCACGGAGATGAGGTGACACAGCATCCGTGGTTTACCTAAGATGTTTTTGCCTTGCCAGCAGAAAATGGATCACAAATGCTGATGGACCCTCATCGCCTACAAAAACTCATCAGGGAACCTTTAGATTTATTAAAAAGAAGAGCAGTGCCACTTAAGTGCTTTATGTTTTCATTAAATGAGGCGTTTAGTTTTGTTAACATGGGTCTAGAACTAATGAAGAATTTTATATTTTATTAACATAGTATTGAGTCAGGCTTTAACACATGCGACCAGTTAGTGCCAGAATCAAAAGTTTATGATCTTATGTAATATTTACCACCTTAAATCAAAACATTGTCAGAAGTTTCAGACCAGCAGATAAATCATGGGATGGATTGTTTTTCAATGCTTTACGCTTTCAAATTATGGTGTAATGGGGAACTTTATTGGGTTTCACATTTGTGTTTCAGGGTTGGAGTCGCCTACATCTCAGTGACTGCTGGGAAAAACAGCATGGTAGACTCGGTCATAAAGGAAGTGCTCCCAAAACTAGGAAAAAAGGTAACTTGGATTTCACTTCTCAAAAATCCTGCATGTTAGTACTGACACACAACTTATCTGAGCCACAAACGTTGATGATGCCTCAAAACACGCGTGGAAATGTGTGCCAGTACTTTTATAAGCAATCAACCTTTTTTGTTGCTTTTTTTTTTTAAACTGATTTTTTGCCTACCACATAGCGACTGCTTGTATGATCTATTGTGGCAAATACCACAATAGATTCTTAATAAAATGTAAAAATAGTAAACTTTTTATGCACAATTTGCATGTTAATCCTCATGTTTATTTGGCAAATTTCTCTAGAATGAAAACCCTGCTGACTTTAACCTTGTAGAAGTTTTCATGAGCAGCAAACAAGGTAAGTTCTCCTACATGTATTATAATATATATATCATATTATACAGCTGTAGAAAAAAATAAGAGACCACTGCAAAATTAGCAGTTTCTCTGGATTTATAACGCCAGGAGTGGCATAAAGTCACCCAACAGCAATGTGACCGACTAATAGAGAGCATGTCAAGGCGCATGAAAGCTGGGATTGCAAATCAGGGTTATTCCACTAAATATTGATTTCTGAACTCTCCCTAAGGTAAAACATTAGTATTGTGTTGTTTAAAAATGCATATAAACTTGTTTTCTTTGTATTATTCGAGGTCTGAAAACATGGCATCTTTTTTCGTTATTTTGACCAGTTGTCATTTTCTGCAAGTAAATGCTCTAAATGACAATATTTTTATTTAAAATTTGGAAAAAATGTTGTTTGTAGAATAAATCAAAAATGTTCATTTTACTCAAACAGATACATATAAATAATCATTCCTGAGAAACTGCAAATTTTGCAGTGGTAAGATATAAGATAAGATTTAGAGAATAAGATTTTCTAATCAAAATGTGTTATGTCGAACCAAAACATTTAATGTGTGTATATATATATGCACACACTAATTAAAATGTATATTTTCTTAAGGAATTTTATTTATTTATTTATTTATATTTTACAGTTGACAAATACAGACCGTAATGGGAAATGTAATTTGCCTGATTTTATATTTAATTTTTTTAATTAAAAAATTCATTTGTTAACAAACAAGTATTCATTACTTAAATGCAGTGTTGGGCAAGTTACTTTTAAAAAGTAATTAGTTACAGTTACTAGTTACTTCTGCCAAAAAGTAACTCAATTAGATACTCAGTTACAAATTTTAAAAGTAACTAGTTACTTAAAAAAGTAACTATTGCGTTACTTTCAAGTAAAATTAAATTTTAAATGCTCAAATGTGACCCGACCTCTACCCCTCTTTAACGGAACTTACAATACATGTGCAAATTCAATTATTTATGATCAATCTGAATATTATAATAAAATGGACACTTAATACAATACATTATTAACAGAAACATGAAACATTGTACACACATCTAAAAAAAAAAAATTGTTGCTGTGGGACAAAGTGAGACTAGCCTCCAATCAAATGCCATGTATGTAGATATTATGTTTATATAGTGGATCAATGCAAATAACACAATAGATGTTTTGGAACTTTTGATATTTATTGCCCCTCAACAGGCCACAACTGGGCAAAATTAAATTAAGCTTGTTAAGCTCGTCGCCACACCTGTCTCTCGTTGACTGACTGGCTTGTGTTGTTCCTTGTGTGTCCTGTCCTGTCCGACTATGCGTTATGATGGGTCGTTCGCAATTCATGAGCGTTAGCCGTTAGTGATGATGGATCGACTCGTTCGCGAATGAGCTTTTGATGGGTCGTTCGCGATTCGCGAATGAGGCGACTCTAAGAGCCGGCTCTTTTAGGTGAACGTCGGGAGCTGGCTCGCATATCTGAAGAGCCGACTCTATTTTTACAAATTTAGCCTATAGAAATTAAATAATTATGTAATAAAAATTGAAATATTATAGTCAAAGTCATTTAAAGAGCCGTTTGTGAGCCAAAAGAGCCTGCTTTTTTCAGTGAGCTGAGTCAAAAGAGCCGAATGCCCATCACTACTATGCGTGCTTTCGAACACCCGCCCAACTCTACCTCTGATTGGCTTACAATGACATTTTACTCTACCTCAGCCAATCGTCAGCATTTATGCGCTTGTCTCGTGCTCTGCCCACTAACCAAGGAAGAACAGTAAAAAAAGTATTTGCCTCTCGCTCAGAGATCTAGTTGGTCTGATGAAAAAAACAAAAAACAGCTTCATCAGTTATAGTAATGCGCCGCATTTTTTGGCAGTAACGGGAACGGCGTTATTAAGATGAGAAGAGTAATCAATTAGATTACACGTTACTGGAAAAAGTAATGCCGTTAGTACGTTATTCCCATCACTGCTTAAATGTGCTAATTGTTTCTGCCTTAAATGAATAATTTTTTAGCTAACTGTGTCATTTGTATTTGTACATTTCTGAAATACATAACTTAGACAGTTACCTCTGATAACAGATCACTCTAAATTGAAATGATTGATGTGTATTATGAAAGCACTATACAAATAAATATGAATTGAATTGATTTTGATGTGATTTCCTTCAAGTACCTTAAGAATCTGATTGGCATCATGAAAGGGATTTTGGTTGAACCCTTTTCAACATATAGAACAGCTTCGAAAAATGTGGAAGGGTTTCATGATACCCTAACCTTGTGTTTCTTACCCATCTTCAGTTCAAAGACAAGTCCTCAGCGGTCAGGAGCTTTTACTGGACAAACTGCTGGAGATACGGAAGGTATGTGGGGTGGGTCATGCTGATATTGCTTGGCATTTGGAAAACACTCAAGGTGATGAGCCCTGATAAAGCACAGCACGCAAATTTTACAGTGTCCGTGTGCTTGTTATGGAAAACATCTTGTGAGAGCTTCTCGGTTGTCTCATACGCTGATTCTGAGCATGTGACTTTCAGACATCGTTGCGACAGATGAATCAGACACGGTTTTACATCGAAGAAAGCAGGAATCGAATGGTGCAGGTCAATCTGATTTTGGGAGGCTTTCCGACACAACTCGACAAAGAGGAATACTCACGCCTGCTATCCGAACACCTCGCCGTCAAAAGTGAGTCTGCACATCTGTGTGTGCTTGAATGATGTGTAAGCTCAAGATTTAAACTGCTGCGATCCTTTGGATTTTAGCCGTTCGTTCCATAAATCTCTATGGATTCTATTAATCTTTCCATGAAATTGTCCTTTAACAATGCTGACCTATAACTCTGACATAAGTCATCTTGTGTACTCATTGTAAGTATGCCTGACGCCGCTCTGCTGAGAGGGATTAGAGCAGATAATATAGTGACAGCTGATGATTTCTTGTGATTGCATGTTTAACACTAACATATCTCATATCTCTTTCTCTCTCTTCCCCACCCAGGTCACTTGGCCACCATCTCTCACGTATACGCCGGACAAGGTAAGAGTGATCACATCCATAAATCACAGGGTTCTGTGGGAGAACGGCCTGTTTCCTCGTCACAGGAAATGCATCCCTCCATTAAAGGCGACTCAAAATGTCCGTCTTTGTTCCGAGTGCAACTAAACTGCATGACTTTATTTGATAACACTGAAGGTCGCTGGTGCATGCTGCAGAACAGACCGCTCGCTGTGTCCATGGGCCATAATCTGGCCTACTGTCAGCACTCTGTAAATGAAAGCCCTTGTTCTGCACACACACGCTCCGAACTGCCGGTTGTTCTCAGTCATCCACAACATGCCCACTGGCTCACTCGCCTTGATGCTTTGAACGCATTTAGATTGTTGTTGCAGTGGCGTGTTGGTTTGTGTGAAGGTCTTAAAGTATGTAGAGGTTAACACACAAGCTCTGACACCTAGAGCTATTACTATTCTACTCTTTATTATTTTCTGTCGCTGGCTATACTAGGAAAAAATGGTACAAAGGTGTATATATATAATATTATCCTAATTAAACAAAATAATATGTATGTAATATGATAAAATATATAATATATACTACTATTATTTATATATATTTTAATCAATTAATTTATATAATAATTAATCTATAATATACTGATCAAACGTTTGGGGTCGGTGCAGCAGTCTCTTATGCTCATCAATGCTGCATTTATTTAAACAAAAATTAAGTAAAAACACTAATATTGTGAAATATTATTACAATTTAATATGTTTTCTATTATATATTATTATATTATAAAATATGTATTGTATTTCTAATATATTTTAAATTAAAATGGAGTTTATTCCTGTGATGGCAAAGCTAAATTGTCAGCATCATTACTCTAGTCTTCAACATAACATGATCTTTCACAAATCATTTTAGAAGCAGAAGAAAATCCAGCAACACTTGAACTTTTAATTATATGTCAGAAATGATTCAAATATGCTGATTTGCTGCTCAAAGTTTTCTTATTATCACTGTTGAAAGTTGTGCTGCACATTTATTTTTGATGTTGTAGAAACAGTGCCACTTTTTTAGGATTCTTAGGATTTCTGATAAATAGAAAGTTCAAAAGAACAGCATTTATTTTATATATACACTCACCGGCCACTTTATTAGGTACACCTGTCCAACTGCTCGTTAACACTTAATTTCTAAGCAGCCAATCACATGGCGGCAACTCAGTGCATTTAGGCATGTAGACATGGTCAAGACAATCTCCTGCAGTTCAAACCGAGCATCAGTATGGGGAAGAAAGGTGATTTGAGTGACTTTGAACGTGGCATGATTGTTGGTGCCAGAAGGGCTGGTCTGAGTATTTCAGAAACTGCTAATCTACTGGGATTTTCACGCACAACCATCTCTAGGGTTTACAGAGAATGGTCCGAAAAAGAAAAAACATCCAGTGAGCGGCAGTTCTGTGGGCGGAAATGCCTTGTTGATGCCAGAGGTCAGAGGAGAATGGCCAGACTGGTTCGAGCTGATAGAAGGGCAACAGTGACTGAAATAACCACTCGTTACAACCGAGGTATGCAGCAAAGCATTTGTGAAGCCACAACACGCACAACCTTGAGGCGGATGGGCTACAACAGCAGAAGACTCCACCGGGTACCACTCATCTCCACTACAAATAGGAAAAAGAGGCTACAATTTGCAAGAGCTCACCAAAATTGAACAGTTGAAGACTGGAAAAATGTTGCCTGGTCTGATGAGTCTCGATTTCTGTTGAGACATTCAGATGTTAGAGTCAGAATTTGGCGTAAACAGAATGAGAACATGGAACCATCATGCCTTGTTACCACTGTGCAGGCTGGTGGTGGTGGTGTAATGGTGTGGGGGATGTTTCCTGGCACACTTTAGGCCCCTTAGTGCCAATTGGGCATCGTTTAAATGCCACGGCCTACCTGAGCATTGTTTCTGACCATGTCCATCCCTTTATGGCCACCATGTACCCATCCTCTGATGGCTACTTCCACCATGTCACAAAGCTCTAATCATTTCAAATTGGTTTCTTGAACATGACAATGAGTTCACTGTACTAAAATGGCCTCCACAGTCACCAGATCTCAACCCAATAGAGCATCTTTGGGATGTGGTGGAACGGGAGATTCGCATCATGGATGTGCAGCCGACAAATCTGCGGCAACTGTGTGATGCCATCATGTCAATATGGACCAAACTCCCTGAGGAATGCTTCCAGCACCTTGTTGAATCTATGCCACGAAGAATTGAGGCAGTTCTGAAGGCAAAAGGGGGTCCAACCCGTTACTAGCATGGGGTACCTAATAAAGTGGCCGGTGAGTGTATATATATATATATATATATATATTAGTGCTGGGCAAGTTAACGCGTTATTATCGCGTTAACGCATTTATTAATTAATGCCGACAATTTTTTTATCGCGCGTTAACGCAGTTTTTTTTTTTTATTATTTTGAAAGTCCGTTGCTCACTGGCTCTGAATACAAATAGGCCTACAGTCAAACCATGATCACAGGAGGGGTGGGATGTTGGTCAGCCAGCAAATACCCAGATAGCAATGAGTCGGCGGACCACCGTCGGTTCTCCGGCGGCAGTAGAAGCGTCAGAATGGCGACATCGCAAACACGTTGGACGGCGCACCGCCGGCGGCAGCCGCTTTTTAAAAGCGGCAGCCGCCTTCCTACCGCCTTCGTTAAGCGGCCGGCCCGCGGGCCAACCGCCGTTCCGCCGCGCTTTATATTGAAGGCCGTCCTTCCGCGGCCCGCCGGAGGCAAACGCTATTTTCGAGCGCTCTGCCGCCGCTTATTCTGGCTATATATATATATTTTTTTTTTATAGCATGCAGTTTATCAAGAATAATGATTGCTCAAACCAGACAAATTTACAATTGGCATTTTTATTCCACATTTCAAAGTACAGTAACTGTCATTTAAACAAGATGTTTCAGATCACTGAAACATAACAGAAAAATAAATAAATCAATATACTAACATGCAGGTTTCCAATTCAATTTTGGTTAAACAGCCTTACAAGCAAATTACAACACTTACAATAAGTGTTCATATAAAAAGGACAGCTCTAGGGTAACAAATTACCAGTAAACATTATGACAAGTAAAGAGGATATTTGATACCAAATAATGTGCAAGATACCAAATAAATAAAAGTATAACTACATTTACAAGCCATTTCTAACAATATGATAAGTGGTAGTAATTTATAGTAAAGCTCTGGAGTAGAATAGGCCATTATAACGGCAATGCTGACCTGTGGCACAAGGATTTACAAGCTTTATTTGAAAAAGAAAAAAAGAAAGTAATTTCCACAGTGAGTGAGTGTAGTCTGACACTTCTGACTTCTTAAGGGGTCTTGATTCTACTGACTGCAAGATAAAGAAAGGATTCCAGTTGTCAGTGATGCTGGGGTGTCAGTAGTCAGTATAGTTTTAAGTGGTCGGCTGTGGGTCCCTCTCAGCTGTGCGGCGCCTTTTTCTGCCTTCACGGTCAGATGCTCCTTTCAGGTAACGCGTAACGTTAACCTGGACCGCCTCATCAGTGCATCCTGGGTTTCCGGGTCCTTCCGGATGGCTAATATAGAAAATACAGATCTGTCATTTAATTTGAATTGCATGAGGACAATAGGACATACACATCTACTTAAATCTAAAAAAAATATCCAACTTACTTTGAACAATGGTCTTCAGGAACATGTCTCTAAAACATGCTTTATCCCCTACACCAAGCTGAAAATCCCAAAAAAGTGTTACAAATTACATTTCTCTGAAGCTTCTCATAAATAAATAAAAAATGTGAAAGGCTAAGGATTCAGACTGTAATATATGCAGTATACAATCTTAAATTTTACTTTATATCTAGGTCTACTACATGTACAGGTAGCCCCAGTGGGAATTAAACCGACAACCACAGGTGCTGTTTGCAAGTTGTACCTAATTGCTCAGTGCAAGCAAACGTCTTCAACATTGTTTGTTGAACTTGCTTCACCTGCTCTTGAAGTAAGATTTTACAATTCGTATTTTTATATGTAATATTGTAGTGTTTATGTAAGCAATAAGGTACGAGAGGCTGTGCTGTATCGTGAATAAGTAACGGCTGGAGGGCGTTGTTAGGCACGACGCGAAGCGGAGTGCCTGCAACCCCTTCAGCCGTTACTTATTCACGATACAGCACTTGCCTCGAGTACCTTATTGCTTTTATAAAACGGTTGCCACACAATAAAAATATTAAAGCCGAAAAATATGTATCTATGCAACTTTCATGAAGTAAAATCACTAAAAGCCTGCCTTCCGCTGGAAAAAATAGTCCCGGAACGTGAACAGCAACAGAAGTTACATATATTATTTCGCCAATAGATGGCGGCAAAGACTGTCTTTATGAGTGAGTGAGTGAGTGAGTCTGTAGAGAAGGCTTTTGAAAGGACTCGAACTTGTGATCACGGAGAAGACAGACGCAACTGACAGATGACTAACGTTATGCACGGAAAACCCCATGACTGTTAAAAGGACAAAATATGCAGCGGACATTCAAACGCATTTTTTTATTATGAATATAGGACTGACCTGAAGGAAAATGCTACGTCTACTGTAAATGCAGGTACACTCGCTTACTCGATCTCTCACAATGCTCTGCTCTAGCTTTAAATGAACAATATCAATGAGATGAAACATCTGTTTAAGTTGCTAAGAGTGGTTGCTAGGGGTGTTGTGTAGTGATACATAGAACCGTTGGGTGAAGCGGTCATAGCCGTGTTTTATCGTGAATAAAGCACAGCTATTGACCAATCAGAATCAAGGATTGGAACTAACCGTTTTATAATATAAATGATTTATCTGTGCACTTCATTATTCTTTTAAAATTCATGTAGCCTTATAATCTTTAATCAAATACGTTACCCTTCCCTTCCCCCTCGAAACGACTTCTCTTCTCTTCCGGTCATGTGCTATGGCGCGAGGGCGTGGCAACTCCCCTCAAACCGTGCTATGAGCAGAGATGGAGAA